CTTCCAATAACGTAAAATATTTGGAGAAAAACTCGCCCAGTTGCTACAGCCATACACAACGGACCGTTCCCGCATTTTTTCTTGAAAAGCGCAAACTATATCGCCAGTGAAACTCTTCATGTTTACATTATAAAAGACGGTGTGTTTGCAAATCATTCCTGAGTCCCATTCTCCGCAACCGACGTATTTTCGAAACTATTTAATTATATCAAAAAAGTTTATAAACTTATAAAGTTTATAGCTGATAAACAAGTTTTTCAAGCCCTATTCAAATCCGTAAAGATCCCACAAGCGATATAGGCACCTTAAAACATATCCTTATTGAATAAAAGTCGTCTTACGTCCGTTTATTTTCTAATTTTAAACATGAAATAAGAATATACATCCTCCCCCCCTCCCCTTAAGCCGTCTAAAAAAAACATTGTATAGCTTATAGCAATCCGTTTTTAAAATAAGGCAGAACCTAAACCTTCCAATAATTGTACAATGTTATTACATGATAGTTTTCTTATTTCTATGACCATAAAACTTCCTATTCTTGCCTCAATGCCGCAGAACTCCACAGAAATTAAAAACGTGGGGTTTTACACACATTTTAGAAACATTTTATTTTTATTCTGTGTTTACACAAGGATTTCATTCTCATTATTCTAAATCTCAATAACAGTGAGTTACTGTGACATGAAATTCATTCCAACTTTATCTATACATTCATTAGAAACATTGTTGGGAAAAACATTGCAATACTTTTGCATTTGTCAAAATGATAATTGCATACATTTTATCGTGTCGTCAATAACTATAGGCCTTTTACGATGGCGTTCAGCTCTGTCATCTGTGTCTCAATACATCACACACTGTCGTTGAAACACTCCGGTCCAAAGGAGACATCAACGAAGATGTGACGACATTGTACGAAGGTCAACGAAAATCCACGACTAGTAGACTTTGCAGCGGAAGGACTGGGAAATGAAGCGGAAAGCAAATGTTTTTATCACGGAATGGCATTTGATTCGTGATTTAAGACAAATAACGCAAATCACAGGCCACGAAAATACCCTTGCGACCCTCCCCTGCTTTTAAGCAAAGCGGTATCGCAACTCAAAGTTGCTTGATATTTAATTACCGTTGCTGGGCAGCTGACTAATAGCAAGTGCAGGAGTATTGCTTCAACCAAGATATTATCAATAATTATTTGCATAATGTACTTTTCATGTAGTCATTAGCTTTTACTTGAATGAGCTATAAAAGTTTTCAGCATTGTCTAATTGCATTCCTGGACCCCTGGTTATAGTGATGGATAATAATTTTTTATTCATTCCTCCATGGGCTCCATTAATCCTGATTAGCCTAATAAATACAGCCTTCTTGGAGGTTGATACCATAAACGAAAGGTATAAAAGTAGCTGTGGATTAAAGACATACAGCTCAGCCGATGCATGTTTATATTTAATCATTTCTTTCATAAATATAACAATTGGTATAAAAATACCAGTCAACAACAAAATCTGTTAACATGGTAATTAGGAATAACAATGCACATACAATCATAACAATAAGTATTATGATTGTGCTGTATTCATATCAGTTCAATGTTCAAACAATTTGCCTAACAACCATCTCTTGATTTATTTCATATTAATTAATCCTGAAAAATAAAAATGGAAAGATGATCAAGATTTATTTACAAGGTGCAAGAAGCTAAAAAATCAATTATAAGCCAGGATAATTGATAAATTGACATTGAATTTGACAAGGCAAACAAGATAATATATCTAGGCTTTAACAACAACTAAAAGAGGTTGAAATTTTACACTGTTTGAAGCAAAAATCTAATTACTTACTAAAAATCTTACTATCAACACCCAATCTACACTTCTGTCAGTAAGATCATGTTAATAATTTATTGATGTTGGAGGGATCAATAACAGAGTGAGAAGTAGACTCACTAAAACGGGGGAATGGTTTACCTATTAACATTGATGTTTGCTATCATGAAAACAACATAGAGCAAACTCAAATGATCGACACTGCCAGGAATTTCATTCCTTCCCCACACAAGTTTAGAAAAATTGATAAAGTTTGGGTGTATAAACATTGCACTGTAATGTGCCAAACGTCAAAAATTTTATATTAATTTCGCTGTTTTGACCATAGGTTTTGATGAAGCTTTGGTAATCAGTTTATAAGACAAAAAACGGCTTACCTCTATGCAATAAAATAACAGCTAGAAAAGGAGAAAAATCACTCTCCGGATAAGTGAATTAAGCCACTCACACGGTCAAAAGTAGAGCACGAAGTTACTTCTCCTCTCAAATTGTTGAACAGGTTAGCAAACTGTTGATGTTAGTAAACTGCGAGCTAAGGTTTTCCCCCGTGATGTTTGCTCCATTATAGTAAATTGTTTCAGTCTTTTCTTAAAACGTCGCATTGTTTACAACATTAAATTTCATATAGCTACTCAAACATGAATAACTAACATAATTCCTCGCTTAGTTACTATGGTGATATTCCACGATATAGTTACTATGGTGAAAAAGAAATAACTTCAACCTGTACCGGACAGAGATTTTTAACTAAAACAAAGAATAAAATGCACTTTTGTAATTTATTTTCCTTGAAAAAAACTGACTTCAATCAGACACGATTTATTTGTTCATTCGCCATAAAGAACATGCCTTAGAGCATGTTCAAGCGTACCATGTTTGAAGCAATAACTATGCATCAAAGTAACTTACCCTACCGCAAAACGTGATACTCTTGAGTGGTAATAAAGCCAGTCAATGGTAATAATATTGAAGATGGTAATAATATCAAGACACTAAGGAAGACCTTCATGTTTCTAAAATGGTTCATGAAATTATTGTCTATGTCGAAGTTTCAACAAGCATGCATATAGTAGCTACATTTGATTGTATCTTAATTTTTAGATCACGATTTACATCTTTGAAAAATGGCACCTGTTTCAGAAAAAAATGGCCGTGCAAATATTTTATTTCATGACGTGGGCATGTGATGGGAGGGGGGGGGTAATTAGTTCCAATGAAATTGGATGGTGTCGAGAATATATGAGAAAATCATTGCTTCTGGGACATCCAGACCGGTAATTATAGTTATGCAGATGAGTAGGTTTGCAACAGATTATGTCATTCCACTTGTCAACGCTATTATAATACAGTAGGCAAATTTGGAAATGGATTATTATTACACGCAAGTTTAAATTCTAAGAATAGAGAATTCTGAATATAAGAAGTTTAGTTCATGTTTGATGATAATAGAATTCGTCACTGTAGCTACCTCACTGAATTTTTGATCAACTGAAAATTACGGTATGTCAGTATGTCATATTAGGTTTGATTTACTTTAATTTTCTGGTGTCCGCAATATCTCTTCAAAAATAGGTACGCAATGCGTACATGTGGGTAGCCTGTGAAACATTAGTAAAACACTATAGTGGCAAGTAAATTTCAACTGATGCAATAAAATATTATTTTCTAATCTTATGTTCTAATGCCATAGACAACGGAATAAATGCCCTATAGTTAGCTGGTTGAATACAGTTATAACAGAGTCGATTTATTATAATATTTTATTGTATTAAATACATTTTAGGACAGATCAAAACATATATAAAAGCATTTTTACAAGAGATAGAAAATGAAATTTTTAAAGCAGAATAGGTGAACAGAACAAAAAGGAGAGTAAGGTTCCGGGATGGTGGCACACATCGTCTGATAACATAAAGCTTAGTTTAGAAGGAGAAAGATCTTAACAAAGATTTCATCGAGGATAAACTACTTGATTTGCCAGATCATTTTACAGTCACATAACAAAGAGTCCAAAATTGTTTCAAACGTTTCGCATTAACAATTTTTAAGGACTTATCTATGTACATGAACAATATTTTAAAGATTTTTGATCAGTTGAAATTCACTTTTGTTAACAGTTTTGTTTTTTGAACTCCAAAGCATTTGGTTTAATAGCTGCATGTCCACAAGCAAGAAATTGACAAGTGAAATATTGCATTATAATTTATAAAACAGGGCGACTTGTCACTACCATTTGCCAAATTATAATTTATAAAACAGAGCACTTGTTACTACCATTTGCATTAAGGTAATGTATTTGGTTTAATAGCTGTATGTCCACAAGCAAGAAATTGACAGGTGAAATATTGAATTATAATTTATAAAGCAAGGCAACTTGTTACTACCATTTTCCAAATTATAATTTATAAAATAGGGCAACTTGTTACTACCATTTGCAATATTAAAGGTATTGGTTTAATAGCTGCATGTACACAAGCAAGAAATTGACAGGTGAAATATTGAATTATAATTTATAAAGCAAGGCAACTTGTTACTACCATTTGCCAAATTATAATTTATAAAATAGGGCAACTTGTTACTACCATTTGCAATATTAAAGGTATTGGTTTAATAGCTGCATGTACACAAGCAAGAAATTGACAGGTGAAATATTGCATTGTAATTTATAAAACAGGGCAACTTGTGACTACCATTTGCAATAAGGTAATGTCTTTGGTTTAATAGCTGCATGTCCACAAGCAAGAAATTGACAGGTGAAATATTGCATTATAAGTCATAAGTTATAAAACAGGGCAACTTGTTACTACCATTTGCCGAATAAGTTAATGTTTTATTTATTTCCTATTAGTGTAACTTTGTAGTTGTAGATTCAACGCTCACCGATCACCGCTTTTTCGTCTTTAAAGTACTCAATTTCGCTTTAAAATTTGACAAACGTGTAACTTCGGTTGCTTCCGTCCTTCGAAAACAACGAAATTTTCCGGAAGTAGAACGTACCGTTCGTCATCTTTCGTATATCCGACGATTGCCGAAGATGTGGCACCCACAAACACACACAGATCCGGACACTTTTTCGACTACATAGTGGTTAGCCGCGCATGCGCAGGCTACCCACAAAAATGCATGAAGAAATGCCAAAACTTCCAAGCTGATTACAAAACCAATACAATATTACACCAAAGAACAACCATAAAATTCGGCTCTCATTGAGATATGTTTAAACCAGACCGTTGGATGGATGCGAATAAACCGAGCAGAAATATGAGGAATCACTCGGTGATAGACGATGGAATTCTTGTCTGTGTTACCTTGGAATTCCTTGAAAATAATAATTATTAAGAAAAAATTAGGCTTTTGCAAGACGTAATAAGTTTAGGTTCCCAATTACATACCCCTGTTTTAATCAAGGGTCATCTGATTGATGAAGACACTAGATTGGAATGTCGAAACGTTTGCTCGTGAATGTAATTTTTATTTGGTGATTACTTTCATTAATTAAACCAGAGTAGCGATAATTGTGATGGATTATACACCTGGTTGCCGTGAACCATTATAACCTCAAATCATATAGCTAATTGAACAAACAATATTGTTTATCATTAGCATGATAAGATTGTAAAATTTTAGCAGCACCTCACCGAGATCTTTTAAGACAACTTTCAAGGCAAAACAAAAATGCGAAACAAAACAGTCCTGATAGGTTTTATATCTAATATTTTGTATTTTCACTAATATTTTCGTTTAGCTTTCAGGCCTTTCCTATAGTTCCTTCAGGGCTGTTTAGTTTGTATGCAAATCCTCATTGAATTGAATAATTTTACTGCAGTACAATTAACAAAATAACTGTACCCCTCTCAACCAATCACCATGCAACACACCATCAGTAATTTTATAATGCCAATAATATTAAGGAAGTTAAAAAACAAAGCATATTAATTTTGTAATAATCTCGCAAATTACCGTAGAAACTAAATTGTAAAATTAGAAATTGTGCGTCTTTGCTGCAGTTACTTTACGTTAAGGGTAGAAAATGGCTTTTCTAAATTATGAAGAATATTCCTACAGGTGCCAGTATCAGACAAATTAACCTTTTTTGCACCTAATCGCTTATTTGCATTTGAATAAAAGCGTCGCTTTTATAGGAATGAGTGATAATATCTCTGACTGGTATATTCGGCAAAAAACAACAAGTTGTTCTTTAGTTTGAAAATAAAAGTTAAAATTTCGGAAACTCTTTTTTGCCATAGTGGTTTAGACCAGTACACCTACCAGCAAAACGTTCAAACTCGTGCCCTGTTACTGCCCTCCCAGAAACGCACACTTTTGTCTCTTGCAAGTTCAGTTGCAAATATTGGGTAAATATATAATGTTAGAAATTGCAAAAATATTGGTATAGTGGGGCTAGATCCTCAGATTAACTGCGCTATAGCCCATGATGAATCACATATAGGTTGATTTTCTGCTATTCATAATTTGTTCTGCAAAATTATACATAATATTATCGCCATTTTTATGAGTTACACAGGTGTGTTGAAAGGCAAACTTGGTCACCGCGTTGACCAATGGTACCTCAGCCAATGAAATTGGTTCAGTTTGCATCTGCTTTTAGAACACTCTCGACTCTGTTGTAGTTTTGTACTTTTTTCTGAATCTCCGAAAGTTAATAATATATGTATAAGTTCTACATCCTGCGTGTTCTGCATTCCCTTACAAAACGTAGGTTACGACTTAGAAAAAAAGCGCTATATTTACAATAAGATAATTATTAAAAAAATGCATACCTTTTTCACCCCCCTCTGAGAAAAATTCTGGAAATTTTCGCCATCTTTGCTGAATGAGATTGTGTACTTCCTTACAAATTGATGATTGTCCCGTCGTCCTTGGGTGCTGATCCCAGTTACCAGAGTAGATCTTTGGAAATCAACCTGAAGCCACTGATTAACATCCTCGTGCTTTGATGACCACGCCCCTCTTCTTCCATCCGGCTGTGTAAAATTTAATCTTCCATTTGCCGCCCTATGATTAATATCAAGCTCGCTTGATGCTGTGATTTGTTCATCTTTAATATCACCATTTTCCATTCCAAGAGCATTAAATGTCTCAGTTACTGAATCCGAAGAAAATTAACTGTTAGAGGTTTTAAAAATATTTTAAATAAAAAATATGGCGTTTTAAGTGATTTACTTAATGGAAAAGTTTACAATATGTATCAAATTTGCATGGCTGTTTCACAAATTTCATGTGGAACTTCATAATTTAGACTTAAGTGGAAATCAAATAAATACATCATCGAATAAATCGCATGCATGCCCTTTTCTTAAGGCCTTGTTACGCGGTGCAATTTCTATTGCAACTTACAATGCAATTCTTCTTTTCAGAGACGTAAATTTGGCAACTACATAATTTTTGTTTTTATTACAGTACATATATAGGGTTTCGTACACCTACATTTTAAGGACTCTTCACTAATTTACATCATACAAAAGTAGAGTTGCCTAGCAAGAGAAATTGCACTGTGTAACATGGCCTTTATTGAGAAATTTTAAGGTACAGAAAATGAAAACGACTTTTCGTGGTATTAAATAGAGCATTAAATGTGGTATTAAGTATTAAATAACTACATATAGTCTTCAGCCCTGGGTAGTATTACCTTTTTCGCAAAAGTGTCCTTCGTAACATTCGAGACATTGACATGAAAATCGTCTTTCTTGATTCCAGATCACGGTTCCACCATTTTGACATTCATTCACTTCTTCACGGCAGTAGGCCTTAAACATAAGGAACATAAAGTTATTACTATGGTAAAAAGTAGCATAAAGAATGAATATCTCTATCGCTTATAATTTCTTTTATGCAATGGAAGCGATAGTTAACTTAAAATCGTTCTTACAAAGTCACTCCTATCGACTTTAGCTTCATGAAACGTCCACACTTGCTCTTCTTTGGTAAAGTGGCGGACATCAAATTTATGCTCTGTTGTGTTAGTTATCTGACAGTTGAGTTCCTTTTCATCGACTTTCTTTTTGTAATTATACGCAACACAAAAACGATTTTCTGCACATCGTAGTTCACAAAACACATCCATTTCTTCAGTGAACTCAGCAATAACGTTAGTCGTCAAACGTGATCCTAAACAGCATGTGCGCAAGTTAAAGAGTGGACTTTTATTATCATCTCCATTGAAGGATCTTTTTCAACTTATATATCGATAAGAAATTTCCAAAAAGATATTCAAAAAATCTTTCAAAAATCGTTTCAAGATCATTTGTGAGAGAGCATGCTATGTTGGTAGAGTTTAGTGTCTTCCATTACTTCAATAGCAGACTGTAAACTGTTATCATGCATCATATTTATTTGATACAAATAAATATACTTTCATTTTGTATAACTTTTTCTTCGAATCATGCTGCGTCCTCGTGTGTCATTTCCTAAACAATAACTGGTATCTAATTCATAGTTTTAAAATGGATCTATTTAGAGAATGCTAAACCTCACATAGACAAAAAAGCTTTGATATATTATTATTTTATCATTCCTACTGTTCATGTAATATTATTATTTCATCTCACTAATTTTTCTGTTCAACATTATTATAAGGTATATGGCTTGTATTCTTTAAAATTACAAAACGCGAAATTAATTCTTTATTAGAACATAAACATTGTTACCTTTTAGTCATACTTAAAATCATATAAAAATCATTTCGACTCACCATGGCAAATTTCTGAATTTTGAGATCAAGAGACAGTCAGATATGCGAGTTGGAACGAAAATAACTGGGAAAACATTCGCAATTTGAAAGAGATCAGTTTTCATTCTTCCAAAGTGATGGATTTTGTTTCGAGTTTAATAAACAATATAGGAATAAATATGCAATAAATAACGTGTTGTTTATAATTATATATACATGATAATAAATTCGTTTTATCACTTTCACTGTCACTGTCATATAATTATTTTTAAATGAATGAGATAATGGCTCGTGCACGGGTGCAGGCGTGTTCTCGTCGCATTCTTTCGACTTTTAGGCCTCTTTTAAACGTTCCGATTCTCATCTGTCGAACGCAATAAAAACGATAGTATCAGTTGTGGGGTCTCATTATCCCTGAGATATTAAAATGTTTTTGCATGACTGAAATTAATTTGTTTGTATAATTCAAGGCTAAATATAAGTATTTGAGTTGTATAATTTTATATACTTTGTTTGTATCGCTTGTATGTGTAAAGCAAAGAAATTACAGACGAGTGTACATATACTTTTAAACCGCTAAATCCTTTTCTCAGTGCCCCGCAAATCTATGGGAGTTGACATCACACACTGTCGTCATGTTTGATCTTGACAACTAAACTTTAGGGTAGTTCCCATCTTTCCTGTATACTTTTTCAGTTTGTCTCTAGACAAACTCAATCTCATGCACAGTGAGTTTCAGTGACATTAATTTTAGTTATTTATCGTAAATTTTAATTAACATGTCTGCATGTGCCGGACAGGTAATTCATATAATTTATACACGTGATTTTTTCGTACGTACGCGGATACATTTTCTGGAAACAAGTTGAAGAATTAATTTTGTCCCGAAAATTTTGAATCTAGCACAAGGTGCCAACTGTAATTTTATATATCATCGGTATTTTGCACAAAGCTTTAGGCCCTTTTACACTGCCAAAGTCGTCGCACCGATCTGCTAGTTTTTTTTTCAGGTACTAGCTGCAACAAATCAACAAATTTCAGACTTGTTGACATTGTCTACATCGAATAGCAGCCATAAAATTTGACTACTTTGACATACCAACACATTGGATGGATGCGAATAAACGGAGCAGAAATATTAGAAATAACCATGCGATTCATATATTCATGTTTAAATACCGTAAAAACAATAGCATCCAAAGAAATTAGTCGGGCAAGTTGTACCAAAGACGCTGTTACACTATGCAATTTTGTTTGCAACTTGCAATGCAGTTATATTAGAGGGATGTTAACTTGTAAAGAATGCTTGAAATGCTAAGAAAACGTTTTTGTAATTTTTTACCCACAGTAATTTTAAAATGGACAAAATAAAACTCGTAAGTTATTTTAGTTTCTGAGATGAGTTAAAACCGGTCTCTCAACATTGTACAAATAAATTAAGGTTGTCGCAAAGCTCAATACGAGCTGTAATGCGTGATCTCATGAGTCAAATTGCGCCCTTAAAATATATTTCAAACTCTCAAAACGGTCTATATTAATATCAGTCAACATTTCGACAAAATTGCAATCTTCATACTTAACTTCCAATTACTCAACTTAGCTTAGAAAACCTTAACATCAGAAAATCTAATATAGCTATAGTAATAAAGAATGACATTTTAAGTTCTATTTTGGCTCACCATGATGAATTGCGACATAATGTGAAGCAGTGAGAAACACGAATTGCAGCTGCCAAAACATGGAAGATTGTAAAAACATCCGAGTTATATAAAGTTTCCTCATTTCTCAATTGCGATTGAATTCCTCCTGTGCCCTTTACAGAACATGCAGCAGCGAGAGAAAGAGTAAATGAAATACAATCTTCCAATGTCCCGATTAAATAGTGAAGTAAATTAACTGATGACGAATTCTCAACTTACCGCTGTCACTCATGCAATCTATTGTGTTTAGGCTTTTTCTTAAGCTATATTAAGCTATAAGCTATCGCAACCCGTAGTCATTATTGTTAGCGGGTTTCCGATTCACGAAGTGGCCAGCTCGACGATGCGCTTGCAAAACAAATTAGAAACTCCACACGCGAGACAATAGGTATGCATAATTTGTGGTGTCATGACAGCTTTGTCATTCTTACGACGCCTTCAAAATGAGTCATTTTCACAGCTTCTCGATGACACGAAAGCAGCTGCAACGTGATAGCTGTTTGATAGTTTATGTGTAACTTTTTATGGGCATTTTACTTGGAGAAAATTCTCAACTGAAGTATAAATATCGAGCAGAAATTTATATCATTCAGCAAATTTGTGCACTTTTCCACTTAAGCTACCACCATTATGGAAAGGGACCGTATCAATTTTCCAATCATTATAGGCTTTAATTCAGGTTATAAAATTAACTAAAGATTTCAAACTTGGTCAAACATATTTGCTACGCGATTTTTGATTTGCTTTCGAAAATTTTATTTTAAAAAATCGTATTCTCACGTGTGTTTAAATACGATTTTTCTAGGTGGCGTAAAACTCTAAAAATTATAATACTTAATACTTATGCATGTTCATATAATAAATATACTTTCATTTTGTATAATTTTTGCTTCGAATAATACTGCGTCCTCATTTGCGATTTCCTAAGCGACCACTGGTATCTAATTCGTAGTTTTAAAATGGATCGATTCAGAGATTTTTGAACTTCTCAAAGTCTAAAAACCTTTAATATATTAATATTTTATCATTCCTATTCGTCATAATATTATTATTTGACTTTAATCTCTCTAATCTCGCTGTTCAATATATATAAGGTATATGGCTTGTTTTCTCTAAAATTACAAAACACAAAATTACGTATTTATTATAACATAAACATTCTTATCTCTTAGTCATACTTAAATATGAAAAATTTTTCGAGTTACCATGGCAAATTTGCGATTTTTGAGAAACAGTGAAAAAAAGCTAGTTGCAATGAAGTGGGGAAATATCCGCATTTTGAAAGAGATCAGTCTTCATGTTTACAATGCGAGGGATTTCGTTTCTGTTGTAGATATAGGTACATAAATTGTTCTTTTATGTAACATGCAACTGCGGGTGAAATTAAATAAACTGCAATAAATAACGTGTTGTTTATAATAATATATGATAAATTTCGATTTATCACTGTCACTGTCATATATTTAAAAATGAATGAGAAAATGGTTCTCATCGCATTTTTGCGACATTTAGCCCTGTTTCAACAACAATAGTATCAGTTGTGGGAGCTCATTGCATGTTCTTGACAAATTAAAATGTTTGTGCATGACAGTTGTTGCATGTATAATTTTATATATAATTTGTTCATTTCAATACTTTTGATTTGTAAAACAAAGAAATTACAACCGACGAGTGTACAAGTCTTTACTTATTTCAAACCGCCAAATCCTGCGGAACTTTATGGGAGTGAACATCACACACTGTCGTCATATTTGATTTTGACAAATAAACTTTTGTAATTCCCATCTTTCCTATACTTTGTCTGTTTGTCTCTAGACAGTCTCAATCTAATGCACAATGGGTTTTAGTGACATTAATACTTCTTATTTATCGTAAATTTTAATTAAAATGTCTGCATGTGCCGGACAGGTAATTTATACATATGAACGTGATTGTCTCGTACGTACGCGTGCACGTTTTCCGGAAACAAGTTGAAGAGTTAATTTGGCCCGAAACTTCTGAATCTAGTACAAGGTAAACGAAAACAAGCAGAATTGGGTTTCCACGAAAATTTTGAAAATCGTGTGCAAACTTTAATTTTATATATTATTGGTATTTTGCAGAAAGCTTGACATTAATTCTTGTTATTTATCGTAAAATTTAATTAACATCTCTGTGTTGGACAGGTGAATCAATGATAGAAGCAAGTTGAAGAATTAATTTTGTCCTGAAATTTTTCTTTTCACAATATAATATTAATTTTCTTGTAAAAACAGCAACCTTCTAAAGCGATAAAGATCTATAATGGTTCGTTCACGGGTCCATGCATGTCTGATTTTTTTGTTATTATTTTATTGTAAATTTTAATGAACATGTCTGCATGTGCCGGACAGGTAATTTATACGTAAGTACGTATACGCGAGCACGTTTTCCGGAAACAAGTCTGAAGAAAAATTTTTGTTCTGAAAATTCTGAATCTCGTAGAAGGCGAACGAAAACAAGCAGATTTGTGTTTCCACGATAAATTTGAAAATCGTGTGCTAACTGTAATTTTTTTGTAAGGGTACTAATTCCGCCCAGAGATTAGGAATTACACCCGGGTTTTGTGACAAAACATAGCGGAATCCAAAGTTATCCAAATTCTATTTCATGGACCGTGGAAGTTCAATGGTCATAGCACTTGTGCGCACGTGCAAAATTTGAACGAGTATTAAAGCACTGGCGATCAGCAACTTACTGATTGGCTAAGACAAAACGTTTGTATTTCAATGAAAAACGTCAGCAATTTAACTGCATGTCATTTTGCAAGGCTTACATTATCGTTTTGACTTCCAAAAGAGTTATTGAAAGTGTAATTCGGAGATTTGATCTAACAAATATCAATTTGAAGCTTTTTTTGCAATGGACTGCAATCATTGCATGATTTCAACAATCGAAAAAATGTTTTCGACATTTAGTGTTTGGGGATTTAAATTATTTTTGCTGTTTTGAAGATTTAATTATAGTGAAGTATTAACTAAGTCTATATGACTATAATTGCATGCAACGCCTTCAGCAAGTAAACGGTATTTCATTTTACCTTTATATTACGACTGTAATTGTTTCCGAAAAATGTGAAGCATCAGCTATTATATTGAGGTCTGGCTAGCTCAGGAAAAAAATTGCGTCGTTTGAAATTGCGAGGGGTCGCTGCATGCATGTATTTCTACTATATTATCGGTATTTTGCACAAAGCTTTAGACTTTGTTTACACTAACTGCCAAAGTCTGGGCACCGCTCTGCTAATTTTTTTTGTTCACAAATTCATATTCAATTTTTTGTAAAAACAGCAACTTTCTAAAGCGACAAAGATCTGCAAAACATCAAACTCAACGGAACTAAACCGTCAAGCTGGCAGGCAAATGCGTGAAGATATTATTTCGAATTCAATTATTTTAGTTATTTGCGTGTTATCGAGCTTAATTTACTTTCTTTTGGGGTACTGCAACAAATCTACAAATTTCATACTTGTTGACATTGTGTTACTACATTGAATAGCAGCTATAAAATTCAACTCTGATCGAGATATTATGACAATACCAAGTCGTTGAATGGATGCGAATGAACCGAAAAGAAATATGGACATGAGATAATTCAATCTACTGGAATGTGTATGGATGGTATTTTTGGGTGACCTTGAGACATTTGTTTCAAACTTCTCCTCATAATTCTTATCTATATGGCAATTTGACTCTTTATGAGCATGTTGTTCAATGGTAGGCCTGCTAGCTCCTATAATAAGGCATTTGATGATAGTTTTCTTATTTCTATGACCATAAAACTTCATATTCTTGCCTCAATGCCGCAGAGCTCCACAGAAATTGAAAACGTGGGGTTTTACACACATTTTAGACACATTTTATTTTTATTCTATGTTTGATTACACAAGGATTTCATTCTCATTACTCTAAATTTCAATAACAGAGAGTGAAAGTGACATGATATTCATCAAGACTTTATTCATGCATTCATAAGAAGTATTGTTGGGAAGAGACATTGCAATACGTTTCTTATACATTTTTTTTCAACTTATTATATAATTATTTATTCTTATACTTTATGGCAACACACACTTCCGCGGTGAAGTGGTCCATCATACCTTCCTGTAATAGACTGACACTCCCCTGCAAATAGACTGGCTATATTAAAAATTCTGAAAATGTTTCATACATAATATATTTTTAAATAATTGGAGAAATATTAATCAAGCTAAGGCGAATATTGGTAGTTTGAATCTCTGAGAAACGCGTCTACACTTCAAATTCTCCTGAGGTTTGGATCAAATTTTTGGACCAAAAAAATATCCAAGAAGAACTTACTTAATCTATAAACCCATATTTAAGTTGATTAGGAGTGAATCATTACACCGAGCAGCCATAAAATTCGACTCTCATGGAAATATGATTTTCCCAAGCTGTAGGATGAATACGAATGAACCGAGCAGAAATATGAGGAATAATAATCTGATCGACAATAGAACTGTGGTCGCTGTTTCCTTGAAATTCCTGTAATTATGAAAAATAGCAAAAAGCTTTGAAAATTTGTAGTTTCTCTCACCATCTTGAACTTCATTGGAAATATTCTTCAAGAAAAAATCTTTCTCTATTTTCCACTCCAAATTGTACTTTGGTACGCGTAAACTCGCGTACCAAACTTCATTGCTTAAGGTTATGTCTTGTGTAGTCCGTTGTTTTCAAAATAATAGTGCGTCAGCTACAGCGGTGGATGAGGAGTAAAGCAGAATAAATTACACGGACTAATTTCAATTTCGAAATAGCCTAATGACAAGGCTGTTGGTTATTCATTTTAAGAATATTTTTGAGTAAAAACCTACCAACAGCCTAGCAAGTAACAACTGTAGTAATTCAGTTCATTCTGATTTATCCAAAATCCAGCACTGATCAGAGATATTTTGAATCTATTGTGTTTGAGAGTACCACGTAGCATAAAGTAAAGCGGAAAAAACGCAATCTCGCCTTAGGTAATTGTTAAAAGTAGATAATAAAGTCGTGAAACGTGCAAGTCCTCAGCTATCTCAACCCATTTTGCTGGATA